CTCTCCTTCAATTATCAACTGGTCAACAGTCTTCAATTATCAATCAATTAAAGGATGGTAAAATCCATACGGCTGAATATATTGCCATTTAGCATCAAGTCACATTTCCAATTTCATCTTTTTTAAACATGACATAGTTATTCAAACAGTCTCTTTTTATGCAGCATATCTTTCTCTTGAAGAATGAGGATAGCTGCTTTTTCATATCCCAGTGAATCTCAAATCATAAAAATTCATTTCAGTTTAAGGGGAAAAAAAAAAGTATATATATGATGTGGACACCATATGACTTCCTTATATTGCCTAAATTTTTTACTGCCCTTCTCCTTGAATGTTATTAGAGATATACAATAAAAAGTCCAAGATCTGGACATCCAATATCCTGATTGTTCTAAAATACGGACCACAAAAAAAGACACCACCAACCCCCTTTTTTTAAGGAATTTTTTCGAATGCTTTACGCATGCACATTTGATTTTTTCCCCTCTATAATAAATCACATGGAGAGTACTGACTCTCCATGTGTATTAAATAAAATACCTCGTTATTGAAGAAAAAATCATTTGAGCATTAATTTGTATGATCAATAACTTGGCTCCATAACTTGACATGGATCTCAAACCGAAACATTCTTGTACATAAAAGCATTGTTGATTTTCCACTTACTAATATTTTATCTCTGACGGCAACCTGGCAAATCATTATTATATTTTGCTTTCATCCCCACATGTTTATCAACACATGACAACTTGAGTAAAGACTCATGCAGCGATGCCGAAACAATTTTTTTATATTAGTAATTGAATAACAAAGTGCATGGTAACCTTTTATGTTGACATTACACTTGGTGGTGATTACAGATTAAGCTAAATGGGCTAAGAAATATTGATGAGAAAAAATTTAACAAAAAATTTCTTTCAATATGTTAAAAACATATTTTATTAATGATACTCATAGACCAAAAGATTACATTTAGTTCTATCTGAATTAAGAATAACTGATTTGTTATTCACGAAAACCCAGAACTGGTGGAAGAGCTCATGTGGCCGCACCTGGCAGCAGAATTTAGGGAAGACGAAATTTTTGGAATTTAGAGAAAAACAGAGCAACAAAATTAAGGGATGACTCCTTTTTAGAATTTATAAATGAAAGGCATTGGTATAGTCTTTATTGCATCATGTGGTACGATATCTAATGCCAGCCCTTAATAGCCTTAAGTGTACGTGGGAGTTTATTTATTCAGGACTCGGATAAGCCTTAAGCATGTGCAAGAAATAGATATTAGTATAATACATAACTAAAATAATACAATTTAGGCTTAATTGTGTTAGTGTGCGATAGAAGTAAGAAAACATTTAGCAGAACAACTTGTCTTTTGTCGACAATCTCATGACACATAGCCAAATGTACAGCGGACGCTATAAAGCTAGGTTAAAATTATACTTTACTGATCACAAGGAATTTCTGTTAATATAGTTGATTGTGCTGTTGATTTGATCCAGCTTATTATTTTTTGTAAGCTGTTATTATTACAGCAATTTTATGAAAATTAAGTTTGACCTTTCGATCATGTCGAAAAGATTTTTTAATTTTGGAGCTGCAACAGGATCTACAAAGTGAAAGCATGCTTCGATGTTCGTTAAACAAAAAGTGGAATTGCTGCAAAAAATTGATAAATCTGTCTCAAAATTATACGAGGAGTATGGCATTGGAAAGTTAAATATCGACGAAGAAATAATATGACAAAGAAATGTATATGATATAAGAAAACAGAAAAAGGAAAATTTGAATTTTTTGTGGCTCTCACAATGAATAACAGAAAAATTATTCGCTATGTTAAAAGTGACGATCATGACAATGCGATGACTGAATGGGTCAGACAGTGTTACAGCAAGGACGTGCCCTTGATGGGTCCAGTGCTAATGGCTCAAGCCAAAATATTTCATGAAGAAATTAAGTTAAAACTGAGTGCCCATATTTAACAGGTTGGTTAACCAAATTTAAAAATCGCCATAGTATAAGGCAATTAAAAATTTCAGGTGAAAAAGCTTCAGCTGATACTGAAGTTGCTGAACTATTTGCAGATGAATTCATTAATAGTGAAAATTTATCTGTGGGACAAATTTGCAACGCTGATGAAACTGATCTTTCCTGGCACCATGTACCACAAAATACCTTAGCAACCTCTACAGAAAAAGCTTCAACTAGTGTCAGAAATTTCAAATCGAGACTAACAATTTTAAACATGTGCAAATGCTGCAAGAACATGAGTGTTACTTTTTCATAATCGGAAAAAATACATGACCCCCCATTTAAGGGAGTAAAGATTTTCTTCGTTATATATCGTACAAATAAAAGAACATGGATGACAGAAGAGTTAATGAATGATTGGTTTGAAAATCATTTCATAACCGAAACTCCGCAACATTTGAATTCAGTTGGTTTAAGTCATGACGCAAAAATTATCCTGACTGTAAATAACTGTTTGGCTCATACTTCACTTAAAGTTTTAATGAAAGATAATGTATCTGTATTATTCTTTCCTCCAAAATGTACATCCATCACTCAGCCTATGGATATGGGAAAAGTGCACACGCTGAAATGTAAATATAAAGTAGCATTTTTAAAATCCATGTTAAATTATCAGGATATTTCTCCTTAAATACATATCACAATGTATCATAGCACTAGTTAATATCCTTCTGCATCTAAAAGAGAAACTTATAATTTTTCCAGATTTCAGTTAACTCCTGAAAGATGGCACATACTTGCAACTTCTAGCTAGAAACACCTCAATCAATTTTTAAAAAATTATTTTTTTAATAAAAAAATTACCAGCACAATTGTGTGATCATGAGATAAAAGGCAGTGAGCAAATCAATTTGAATAGGATATTCCATGTTCCATGAATAGCAATACCCTTTAATTCTATTTTCTTTCTAGTTCCTGCCATTTTATATTTACAATTATTCTACACACTGTTTTAAGTTTTTAAGTGTCGAGTCATCCACTTTTTTTGGGGAAAGGGATCAATCTAATAGTTTTTCTTTAATATATATATGCGTATACAATTTTTTTGTAGTAGATATCACTTCAAGGAAAAAAAGAGTATGATTATTAAGTCAGCATATTTTGATAGTTCAAACAGCAAAATATGTGAAATAAACACTGATCAATTTATAATTAAAGACCTAAGATTAATATACAAAATAAAACACAAACACAAAAAGTAGCCACGCCCACCAGCGGCCAAGTAGTAAAGTCGCTGAACACTGGCAGTTCGGTCCGAGGTTCGAATCCCGCGAACAGGCTGGTTGCATGGGCGTTTTCGTGGTTCTTCCCCCGTGTAATATGTATACGAGCCAGTTTCCTTTCGAAAGTCCTCCACAAAGGCATCCCTCCCCTTAAACAGATAGCCCTAGTGTGCTTTGCCATGATTAAATAAACCAAACCGAAAAGTAGCCAAATTTAATTATCAGAAATAAATAAGATTATACAGAAATTCATTACATAAATGAATTTTGGAGTATAAAAACACACAAAAAACAAAAATCAAACAAATATGCACATAGAACTAGATTCTTTGCACGTGTTTTCAAGACTTTCATTATATCCTCTTAGGAGTTGATAAAGGATATAATATAGACATTAGTATGGCAAATTCAATCTCCAAAGAAGTGTTGTTAAAGCCAGAAGTTTAATGCTGCTATCACACGGCGGTTTGTTTCGGAAGAACAACTGTTTGGAACAATTTTTCTGCTTTGTCACAACAGCCAATCACCATAGATCACTTTGGGGTTAACACAGGGAAAACTGGTTCCCCATTACAAACAAGCTGATAGCATTCGAGGCTGATAGCTGATTGGTTGAAAACGAACAACTTGCAATTTTTTTGGAAAGGAAGGAAAATGTTGCACGTCTTTCTATCAATAGTAAATGAGGCAGAAAAATTGTCCGAAACAGTTGTTTGTGTGAAACAAACTCTATGTGATATGGGCCTAAGACATCTTTATACTCAGCGAGAATAGATACTTGCAGCAAAGCTGATTATTAAGAAATGCAGTCAATTCCCAACTAGCATACAGACTAAAATACTCACAGTCTAAAGAAAACGTTCATAGTGGATGTATGAAAAAATTATCACAAAATCAGTGTAAAGCAAAACTGTTTATGGAAAATGAAAAAGATAAAACAAAGTATAGGATATAACAGCAATGATAGATGACCATTAATTTGAGAGTTATTTTTAACCATGAAAGTAACTAACTTTTATGGCTAAAATATGTAACCAGGAATACATAAACAGTATAAAACTATCAATCTTAAGGGATGTAAAAAAAAAAAAAAAAAACATTTCTGAAAAATGTCAAAACTGTTTTTTTCTTGTTCTTTAAAGCTGTGTACTGAAGTTTCTTGCTTTTTAATGATGTTCATTCCTATATTAATTACAGTGTTTATTCTCCCATATTTTTTTCTTTTGTTTTGAATACAGTATTATTTGATGTAAGCAAATGAATGTATTTTCCAATTTAAATTGCTTGAAAAATAAGTAAATTTTAAAAGCATTTTTCTTCTCATAATATGATCCCCCCTATACATTCACCACAAAGGTAACCCTTCCTTTAGACAGTTATCACTCACATATTTTGACATAATCAAATAAATTAAACTCAATCTCTTCCCTGTGCCTTTTTACCTGCAGTCAGATTATCTGCAATTTTGTGTCAGGTATGGGCATCATTCTCAGTATTATCCCAATAAATTGAGATGACCTATGAGACTAAATAGCCCTTTTCAGGGGGGGGATTTAAAATAATTTTTATCTTTTGTAGTAGTTGTAAAAAGCAACTAAATAATTCAGCAGTTGTAAAAAGCAATATTTTTACAACTGCTGAATTATGCAAACCCTGGGAAGTCGAATGACTATTTGCTCATTTCTTTGCATTAAATGTTAAAGTAACTACATAAAATGCTTAATTTGCAAGGAACAGTAAATTCACCTGCACAATCTGCTGTTTGAACGGCTTGAGAACACAAACTGTTTTGAGGCTTAGAAGACTGATGACCTATAAAAGATATTTTAATGTTAATGATTTTAATGCAATGATAAATATTTATAAAAAATAGCATGAACCCTTTTATTTCTAATGGTACACATACTACTTAGATCTAAAAACCCTGAACCCTTTTTATTTCTAATGGTACACATACTACTTAGATCTAAAAACACCTAAAAATTTGTTTTATCAGTTCCAGAGAAATGAAAACTATCACATAAGAATTTTGGCTTTTGAATACACAATGCATTGTTCAGAATACACTTACATCTTCCAAGAGAAAGACCAAGAAGCCAGAAATAACTGGGAAACAGAAACCAACAAATACCTTTTATTTCTAATGGTACACATACTACTTAGATCTAAAAACACCTAAAAATTTGTTTTATCAGTTCCAGAGAAATGAAAACTATCACATAAGAATTTTGGCTTTTGAATACACAATGCATTGTTCAGAATACACTTACATCTTCCAAGAGAAAGACCAAGAAGCCAGAAATAACTGGGAAACAGAAACCAACAATAATTCTTTGCAAATTAACATTTCTCTGTGTAAAGACAGCTGTTCATCACAAAAATTAATATATTTTGTAATAAATGCTGTTATTACTAATGAACACCATCCTCATCATAAAAATAAAAAATTGCAGGGCTTATAATTTAAAGCTCTTCCTATAATACAGTTCCCCCCCCCTCCCAAAGAAGAAAATTAAAAAATTCTGCTTAAGATCTAAATGCAACAATATACTACATCCTTAAAATACAAAACACACACACACACACACACACAAAAAAAAAAAAAAAAAAGAACTCCAAATAAAATTTTATTGCACTTTTCTCAAAATTCCATCGTATAAGTTTTCCATTAAGCATCATAATCAAGGAATCATCGTAATTTAATTGATACTTACACATTATACCATAGTAGAAATCCAAAAAGCTTTAGATAACACGACTCTGGTAACGAAATGCATAGCAATTATTCAGGCCAATATGCGCATGACAAATATTCATTTTCTTACACTGCCATTTTCGTAAGTGTTCCTTTTGCTATACAGCAAATTCCAACGGTTTTCATAGAAAAATGATGATTATTTTTTGTCAACTCAATTTAAAAAAAAAAGTTTGTTACTATGTTTACTGACTGTCTTTTGAAATAAATATATAGCTGGAAAGTAGAATATGTATGTCTAACATATAAATTTTACAGTAAAACTAATTGTTCTTTTTGCCAAACTGGACCGAGGTGGTTGCGATAATATGCAAGTACCATTTAATTTTTCTTGGTTACTCCAATTGTTTAATATATATAACTTGGATATTTTGAAAAATGAGTTTTATGCAGTTCATTCTTCATTAACAGCATGCAAAATATCAACTTGAAATAATTTAATTTCACAATCCCCTGTCTTTCACAAGTATGCCAGTACAAAATCAAAACTGTGGAAAAAAAAAATTCTGGGCAATCTTAGATTGGCACAAATTTTAAATAAAACTCTTTTCATGAGTTTGAGAATGTTCAAATAACGTTCCTTTTCCTCAGCAGCAAAAATCTGGTATTTATATATAATCTTATCAACCATGAAACTATCACCAAGAAGCACAATTTAGTGCCAATAATGGATAAGAGCGATGCCACAACACTCATTACAAACCACACTTTCATTTGACATAACTATAGTGTGTGTTATTATAGCAAAGCCTCGAGAGCTATCTGCCTAAGGGGAGGGAGGCCTTTGTGGAGGACTTTCTAAGGGAAACTGTCTCGTATACATGTCACAAATGGGGGAAAACACGAAAACGCCCATGCAACCAACCTGTTCTCAGGATTCAAACCTCGGACCGAACTACCAGTGTTCAGCAACTTTACTGCTCGGCCACTGGTGGGCTCTGACATAACTATAAACAATGGTAATGCAACATGAAAAACTGTGACATGTGAATATCAATTTATAAAGAAACACAATTCAAGGGCTGTAGAATCATATTTGTAACTGCAATCTGGTTCAGCTACAGCTGGCCGAAATAATTAATATTTGATGAATGGAGAAAACAACAGGTAGATATGGAAAATAAACAACAACAGACTGGAACAATTACTGGCAGTAAGTATTCATGGTGTTCTAAATAGAGCTTCTAATAAAATTGGAGGGCCTAACAAAGCACTAGAAATCAACAAAAGCTTTTTTGCAAAGCATAAAGATGACACAGGTTTAATACTTCTGCAGCAGTGGCTATTTGGTAAACTGTGAAGAGAAACTGACAAATAATTTAAAGAAATGCAAACAGAAATGTGGCTCAGAATTCTGCAGGAACAACAGGTACGTGTTTCACAGGATCTCTGACAACTTTCTTGGTTGGATGATAGCCAATTTTCACAGTTATTGGGATAATACACTAAGTAAAAAATTATTTCAATTTTTTTAAACCATAGATTTATTTAAAATCTACAGACTGCCTAATTTTAATCTTCTCCTTGTTTCCTCTATTTACTTAAATATCTCACAAACACTTTAAGAACAAACATCACAGATTAAAAATACAAAAGCAAGTTACTTTAATGGACTACACTAACAAAAAGTAAAAAGACATACTTAATAAAGAGAAATAAAAGTAAGGCACCAAACAGTAAAGAAGTGTGCAGTCAAAAACAAAGTATCTTCCCAAAGTTTGAAAAAAGAATATAATTCAACAGAAGATTTAAATTATAATCTCTAAAAAATAAAAAAAAAATATGCTTATTATTTATACACCCTCCATTATTTACTGCTTAATGCAAAAGAAAATTTTAAGTTTTTATTTTGTGATTCTTATAATCAGCTTATAAAATGTTTTAAAAAATTCTCATGTTTTTAAAGCATTTTTTTAAAATTTGATTCCCTAAATTTGCATTTTTGAAGAAGTTCATAGAAAACAGGAAGGCAGAAAAGATTTAACATAAAAAATAATGTATTAATTAAAATAAACATTACAAGGTTAAAAGAAAAATTTACCATCGTGACAATCTGTCTGTATACTCCGAGTAGTTCGAGCTACTTGAAAGCCATACGGACTTTTAGATAAAGACGAGGCTGCAGCTGATGCTAGATGTTCAGTCAAATCTTCACGAGATGGAAAATAATTAGCTGCGAAAGTAATTGTTGTTAAAAGTGCTATCATTATAATTGGCTCCGAACCACCAAACCACCTGCAGAAATTAAAAAATAGGAAAATGAGGATAAGACATTATATATTACATATATATATAGAGAGAGAGAACTTACATTTTCAAAATTACATAGGAAAATTTTATATTTATTAACTTTCTGAACACAATATAAAGTAGAACAGAATTCTGATCAACAGCATGCTTTGGGACCAAAGGTCTTGCAGTTCTGTATCAATACAGACAGGATTAGAGATCATTAGACATATTAATTATTATGAGTAAAGAATTCTGTGAAAATAAAAGATCATAACCTTTCCAGGTTTTTCTTTCTTAAACATTTTTTCTGTTTTAATTTTTACATTAAATTTTTGGGCTGTTGGCATTACTAAAACACGTCTATACATGAAGAATTCCTTATTCAAGATTTATTGAATAAAATACTATAATACTTTAAAATTATGCAATAATTAAAAAATCTGATGTAGACATTGACTTCCTCATACAGCCTATTAAATTACACACATTTTCTGATTCACTTCATTGAAATTATTCCCTCGAATTATTCTAACTTTACTGATCTCTCAAGCCAAAAATAACATAAAAAATTACAAATTTTCAAATGAAATATTCCAGTCAGTTTTTATTGTATGGGATTCAAGTTTCTTATAACCTTATTTTTCAATAATAAGTATAAAACTTTCCCAAATGTAATACCAGGAGAGCGCATTAAAAGTCAAATTTTGTTATTTGTCGAAAATTATTATTTTTTTGACATTGCCGAAACATGAACATTTTTGTTAATTAAAATACTTCTGCAATACTACTAGATTCTGAAAATAAAGGCTGGATAAGAGCTTTTAAGTCACGCAAGGGGAAAGGTATATGTATTATTGTGTGTGTAGGGGTTCGGAATAGATTGAATGCGCATAGAACCAATGATAGAATGATAAATAGCTTGATAAAATTAATTTTACCAAAAGAAATATTTCACAGTTCTGAAACTTTCCACAAAATTATTCACACAGCTCTTATCAGTATCATAGAGGACAATCACTAGTTACACTTCAAACTACTAAGAACATTAAAGACAATGCAATGCAAATGCATCTAAAAAGAGAAGCTCTCACTATTATCTAAATATTCCAAACTCAGCTTTGAAGAAATAACTGAGAGCGGATGCTCTCCTGTCTTATATAGTTTTTACCTGGCCGCTGAGAAATCTCTAGTAAATTCAATTTCTAAAAATTATAGGAAGTCACACGATGGCCTGATACGGTTACAGTTACATAAGGATCAATTACAGTACCCTTTACAGTTATACAGGAAATACATACACGCACACATTTGGTAGTGTCAATTGTAATAACTGCAATAAAAAAAGGCAGGTGCACACCTAGATGTTACACTATACATAGCAGTACTATACAAAATTTCGTTCTATGCTTAATTGTTTTTGAGTTACGCAAGATACATATACACATACATAAAGATGTCATGAAAGAAAAAAAAACTTTGGAGGGGGGAGAGAGTCCTTTATTCTGCTCATATATATAAAGATCATGAAAAAAAAAAAAAAAAATCTGAATGCATTCAAGAACAGTCAAAATATGATACCCCAAATTTTTTGTGATTACAATACTGCCTTTACTTCATACAAGGACGTAAAAAACAACTGTATTTGTATACAAAAACAATATTGTGCAAATAAAATGATGCAAGTACAAGACAAAAATGCAAATGAAAAGAAAAAGAGGTACTTCTTTGATACAGTGGCCTCCAACCCTATTTGGAAATTTTAGATTTGTGCTAAGATCTCAGCTATAATTTTGCCAAGCTTGTGAAGCACGGATGTAAAAATAAACACCACAATATGTAATTGTAACAATAACTCACATATTATTCCTTAGAATACTTTTAATAATCCTCATTATTATTTCAATGCATTTAATTGTTCCAGTCAACTGCAACATTTTCACACATATTTAGTTGTTTGTTACACCATTTCATGAATACTAATTCCTCTGCCCAAGAATACATAAATCTAACAGTAGTGATGAATACTATTCTATAACCGCTGAACCATGAATATATTTTTAAATAAACAATGAGAATTCAAAAAGCTCATCAAAAATGAATAATATTAGAGCATGTGAAAGAAAAGCAAAAATGCAACACAGTGCTAATATATGATTAGATGGCAACATATAAGAACATGCAGTCGGTGCTAATATACAATCATTAGGCGAGGTATAAGAAGATGCAGCCAGATTTCGGCGAGATATCTTGGTTGATTGCCAACTAAAATCTTGGAAGCCACTATAACAAAAATGTACAGACATAAATAAGAAGGAATATTTTAAGATAGTAAACAACTCTTACAGAAAGACATCAACATATTTTATGCGAGAGGAGAGCAACAACAATAGTAAAAAAAATAAATAAAAAAAAATATTCCTACTTATGTCAACAAAGAAAAATCTTATTTTAGTTACTTTTTATTATTATTGTTTACATTTTTTTGTTTCTAATTTATGAAGCTGATGGTGGTCTATAATTTATCTTTCTAGCCACCTCTTGTAATGATTCATTATTGTAAGGAACCTTTCCAATGTGTTTCAAGCAATCCAGTTCTTAATTAATATTCCATCTAATGATTTCACATGACTCGAGGCGACATATGCTTGACCTGCTGCTGTTTTGATTTCTCTAACGCTTGGGCTGTGTTGTAGTTTCTTTTCGCATTCTCCGTTTGTGAAGCAAGGGGCATTTTAAAGGATTATATTTTAAACATATAATTATTACCACGTTAACATAGAAATATGGGAAGAACTTTCGCTAGATAATGGAACATTACATCCGCTTCATCCAACTCTATAAAACTATAATTCTTTAATTCCATACACTTTAAAAATCCTTAGAACTCTGTCTTACCGTTGTCACTTATTTTTGTTAAATATTATAATGCCATTTATCACACTCATGTACTATTATTTATAAGTTGTTATGAAATTAATTTTTACAGCACGTGAGAATTCCTAATAAACGGTCATTATTTCTAAGTCTTATAACATATTTAACAAAAATAGCATGTCTTTAGTTCCGATAAACAGGAATAAATAAGTAGGAATTGACTTTAATATGTGAAAAAACTGTATTAACATCAAGTGTCATCCACTAAAAGTTTGAAAAAACGTATTTGAACTTAAGGATGAATAAAAAGTATTTTATTAACGATTGAAAATTTGAACAAGCTATAGGGAGAGTGTGAGCTAATAGTAGGAATTTAATAAACATAAATCTACTATTTATATGCAAACCACACAGCAAGATTTTCCCCAATTTTAATTTTTTTGCTAATTCAGCCACTACGTCCTAGGTATATGATACTACATTAATAATAGTACTAAGAATTCACAAAAGATGCTACAATATTAACTTTGGATTTATTAATGTTCTTTATCGTGGTGACCATTTTTGACATCATCATAGTTTCTACAAGTGCTATTTTTAAAAATATATCCTTGTTTCTTACTGATATAAACAAGATTTTTCATTGTACAGAATGTAAATAAACCTGTTACAAGGTACATTTAAATAGAAACCCGGTTGGTCAAAAGTAAGTTATTTGCCCATAGACTCAAGATTAAAAAGCAATCAGTTATACACCCAAAGAAAGGATTTATCTGAAAAGAAAATTTTCAGACTCACAATCCATGCTTACAATTTTAAAAAAATGCTCATAGGCAAGCACAAATGCTAAATAAGGTAAATGATACAAAAAATTTGCTTCTTCAATCAAAATATTTTGTAAATGCACTGAATTTCTGTTAAAGAGTTTATTTGTACATAGATACAATACCTAATTGCCATTGAATGTGCCACTGCTGAATTTAGTGAAATTCAAAATTTTGTTTGTTTACATCCACGAGTAAGGATGGTAGGTATTTACTGAATCCTGCTGCTTCGGAACTAGTTATAGTACCATGAAAGCAATGTTAAGAATTATGGTTAGGTTAAATATTGCATGATATAAATAATACTTGTACAAAATACATCAAAAAGAAGCATTATGTTATAAATGGTTATGGTACAAAATACGATTGGCACACATTTATTTGTGACACATCAAATTAAACTTTGACTACCCAAGTTCTTTTTACAGATGCTCTCTGTGAACTTGCATCCACTTTATAGTCTCAAGAAGCAAAGAACCACGTGCTCTTCATACACTTCCAAATTTACCTGGCTACTGGTTTGGTTTGGTTTTGGTTTATTTAATTATGGCAAAGCACACTAGGGCTATCTGCCTAAGGGGAGGGATGCCCTCGTGGAGGACTTTCTAAGGGAAACTGGCTCGTATACACGTTACACATGGGGAAACCACGAAAATGCCCATGTAGCCAAGCTGTTCGCGGGATTCGAACCTCGGACCAAACTACCAGTGTTCAGCGACTTTACTGCTCGGCCACTGGTGAGCCCATTTACCTGGCTGCATCACACTCTTTAATTTTTGGGGGGGGGGGAGAAGGAAAGAGAGTTAAGTTATAAACAGTGTTTCCACGCTTTCAGTGCCATCTGACCCTAATGAACTCAGAACCTACACTATCCATAACATTACATCAATCACATTAGACATTTTAGATATTCAATAATATCTATGGACTGAAAACGGACTACAAACTGTATGGCACATGATCAATTTAATGACTTACTGTATGGCACATGATCACATTAAAAGTATCTCACACAGATCATCAATAATATGTAGGAAGAAATGTGGGTACTTTCTGATTATCCACCCAATTCTAAAAACCATTCACCAAGCAATGCACTACATCTCAAACACAGAGAACCTGTAACATCACCAAAATGTATTTATGAGGGAACCCAGTATGCGTGAGCACATGAATGCAATTTTGGTTTTTCAAATTAATTTTTCTGGTTAGTGCTTGTTCTGATGAGTAGCAATTATAATGGGACTGTGAAGTCTGCCAGTTGATGAAAAAGAAAATGTTGCATTTTCTTCAGAAATATGGCATTTTGCACAACAGCTATGGAATGTAAAAATCTGGATTCTATGAAGATGTACTTGAAGTTGTTGTTGTTGTACTATGAAGTTGTAAATGATCAAACTTGTGACCCTAAGTTACAATTTTCTAATACTTTTTTAAACAAAAACAGATTACTGCATGTATGGAAAAACAACAAGATGTGCAATGCCAAATTTGTGCAATTCTCTGATAATAATATCAAATTTTTTAAAAGTGAAAACAGATCATTGAGTTCATTAGGAAATGAAAATGTGTGCGATGCTAAGTTTCAACAAAGGGGATTGACCAGATAGTCAGGAAGTACTGAAATTTGCATAGGAAAACTATAATTAAATGCATCACAGGTAAAAATATACCAATTAAATACACTGCCCTACAAAAATCAGGAAACAGCATGTTTTTTAAAGCTCACCATTACAAAAATATCAGTAACATTTAAATTTACAGTTTATATGCATGATAGTAACAAAGTTTAAGAAATTATATGCAAAAACAATAGCTACTACCTTTATTTTAAAGAAATGAATACTTTATATAGAAGTTGAACAAAAAATTCAAAAAGTGCAAGTTTTGTTCACTAGTATTGATCTTCAATTGTTATTATCAATTTTGTTGACAATATTCGGGAGAGTCTATCAATGCCCACAAGAAGTCATTTGTCTGATTCGTTGAGGTGGCAGGCGATCAGATGGATGGATGGAAATGGGGATGTCACAAGCTGATGCTGCTAGACATCGCAATGTCTCTCATTGTGTGGTCCACTTACTATGGAATCAGTTTGAATCCGAGGATTCTGCATCAAGAAGACATGTTCCAGACAGATCTAGAGGTACAACACATGGGGAAGACTGTTATTTAGTTCTTCCAGCTTGAAGGAGGAGTAACATTACTGTGCCTCAGCTCATGGCAGATCATTTAGTGATAACAGGAACAAGAATTGCAGCTACTACAGTGCACAGAAGACACCTGCAAAATACAGGTCTGTATGCAAGACCAGTTGTTTGTGTGCCCTTTTATATTGGGCAAGAGAATATACCTCCTGGACCAGTCAATAACGGTCATCTGTTCTTTTCACAAACGAGTCCAGGTTCACTTTGGAAAGTGATTCAGGTCATTAGCTGTTTTGGAGGGAACAACACACCAAATACAACCAATCCCACATTGTAGAAAGAAGTTGCAGAGGTGGTGGAATGATGATTTAGGCTGAGATCTCTCTCGGTGGACACCCTGACCTACATGTATACATGGAAGAACTTTGACCAGTGTGAGATATCAAGACAAGATCCCTCATCAATATGTCTGCTATTATGCCACTTCTAATATTCCTGGATTTCTTCTGATGGACAACAATGCGCGACCGAACCGAGCTCGGGTAGCTGAAGAATATCTTTAGGGTTACGATATGGAGCGGATGGAATGGCCAGCTCAATCCCCAGACCTGAATCCAGTAGAGCATCTCTGGGACTACCTTGGTAGACAGGTTACTGCTTTAAGTCCTCCTCCAATGTCGTTAGATGAGCATGAACATGCCTTACTCTGTCGTCTGGTTGTTGATTCCCATTTCACTGACTGACAACGTTATTGGCAGCACTGAACGTCGCTGCCGCCAATGTACTGCAGCTAGGCCGGACACATTCCTTATTATAACCCATTTTTTTTAATGTTATCATCCCCAATTTCCCTCAAAAAACTGTGATATACTGTTCCTCCAAGACTAGATTTCTCTGCTAAGCAATTTTTTGTTGGTACTTTTCCTTTTGTCGGCGCAAAAGATAAAGTTGCCAATAATGGTACAACTGATGCCAAACGGAATATCTTTGCTGGTAACCTTTTACGCTTCACTCTCAAAACAAGTTGCAGCTATTTCTTATCAGAATGATTGTTTCTTTCAATACTGGCATACAATTACATACCGTTTTTACAAGATAGTTAAATTTTATGCCCTAAGACCATTCGTGGTAATTAAGTCAAATAGGATGCAATCACCCCGCTCACAGGAAGGCGAAAATATAAAAAGGCAAAATGAAGGGTTAAATTCATCCATTCTGATGAGAATGTACTAGCAAAGCACTGTGGTTTTACATAATTTCTGAGTAAGCTATTCATACGAATTGAAATAATTCTTGCATTTAAACTTATATTCCAAATTAAGATTTAACTTGAAATTAATGTAGATAATTACTGAGAAAATTAGATTTTTGTATCGTAGTTTACACGAGATGAGATCACTTGGGGTCACATGATAAGAACCGGCAAATCATAATGTTGAACTATAAAAGCATAGTAAATTCTTAAATTAATGTCTTTTTACAAATTTATTGTCTTTATTTATTGGCTTTTTACAAAATTTTAAACCATGTCAAAATCAAACAATATCAAAATAAAAAATTCTTAGAACAAACATTTGTTAAAATTTTTTTATGTGTATACTGTATGCTGTCACCAACAAAGTCTGCTTGGCGAGATTTGTGCCAGTAAAACGGAAAAGTACCTTTTTGTTTAATTCATGTTTGTGTTGACCTTTAGAAACATTCTAAGTGTATTCATTAGAGAACTGTTTAGTGAACCTGTCCTGTAAATTTTTTGTTTCTATGTTGCTTCATTCTCAAATTAGACACAAAAAACATGCTGTTCCTTAACTTTTGAAGGACAGTGTATTTGATTGTTACTAGGTTTATACATTTGTAATAATTTAGTTATACATTTGTAACAGGATGATTCTTTATGACCTACTCTGGGCATAAAAAACTGTATATCTATACAACATAATGCAAAATATCATACAAAACCTGAAACAGCAAATATAAAAACTTAATATATATATATATAAAGTAATTTTATTGACCCAAAAATTTTAAAGTACTTTTATTGTACATAGTGGTTTACCTACATTTATATGTATGCCAACACTACAAATTGTACCACTAATTAATAAATTCCGAAATTTATACCAAAGCAAGACACACAATTTTAGTAAAAATACACCTAAAACTGGAATTTAACAAATTTACCAATTTCTTACAAAAATATATCTGGTGGCCCATAAATTTCAAAACAGTTTAAAAATCCCTGCAAGCTGAGAAAATCGGTATATTTGAAAGCATATTGTGAAAAATGGTTTTCATGGAATACGTTTTTGGAGGGACAGAAAATGTTTTAGTTCAAATTTTTGTCAAGAAATAACTCTTCAAGCATTCAGACTGCAGTAAATATGCAAAATCAAAGTACTACAAAATGCAAAATATAGAACTAACATTCATTTGTCACTTCCCTCAACGACCAACAATTAAGTTTTCACCGTGGCGTCAATATTGGTGGATAAGCACTACTAATGAGGTTTTACCTCAGACATGAATTGTTCATTGAAGCTCTATGAAAGTTTCAGTTAAGAAAAGAATGAAGAAAAATAAAAACCAAATCTTTCTCTCCATATTACTTTTATTGTGCGTGATGTTTAAAAAAAAATCATATTTCATCATATTTATAACAAACTTTTATCCTCTGCTGCAACTTCATAAATAAAAATTCAGAGTAGGGCAAGAAACAGACAAAAAGTGAAACTGCACTCGTCTCTCTTGAAAAACATATTTTTCCATAAAGTCCTGGTTTATCTAAGATTAAGTTTTAGACTGGCAAAAACAACATTTGATTTTTAATTCTTCAATAAATTCCTCACATCATTAAAAAAATTTAGCATGTTATAAAAGTTAAAAAATGTTTAATTCAAAGAGTAAATGTATTTTACTCACCTTTGCATGTATATATCCCAGTTGGAGTATGGACCCATAGAATCTGGAGAATTGGCTTTACTGGCTTGCTGAAGTGCTTTACTGGCCACTAACAAAGGCCACCGACTGTGTGCATGAACTAAGACAAGACCAGCAGACTAGAGTAAAAACGTGAAAACTATATTTCTATCAAAACACTGACTTTTTTGACAATAAAATGATACATACCATTTTGTGCAATCAAGAGTGTTAAATTCATGGAAACACAGTTAACAAACAATCTTTGAAAAAAAAAAATGTCATAAATCAGTACTTCAGTTAACTAATTTAAGCCACGGATTCTAAAACTACAGATCACATAAAAATCTATTACGATAGAAATATTTAAAACATGTATTTTTAGGAAAACTTATGGGTGCTTTTCTGTTAATATGGCATTATTAACAGACACCATGAATACACTTGTGTACAAAATTTAGAAAATTTGCAAATTCTATGTTTATGAGAAGTACTAAACCAAAGATACTTAATATGCCGCCCAAGAATTATGCAAATATTTAGAGTCAAATGCATAAACGTACATATACATGTCTACAAAGTTGCACTTGTAGAGGGGATATAAGTGTACGAAGGGTTTTTCAGTGATAGTGTGCCTTTACTCCTTCACAATATTAACCACGTTTCTCCAAAGAGTTCAGTAAATTTTGTAAAGTATCACCTAAAAATGAGTTGCCAGAACATATGGCTGATGGAATGAGATGAAGAATTATCAGAGGAATTAGTCAAATTAAGTTTGTCTCTATGACAATATTTTGTAAAATCGTCTTTTGTAAAATACATAGTATAAACCTCGCATGGTAAAATCTTCACAAAAGAAGAGAAGTACCAAAGAAATGTTTTACAGTTGGTAGCACAAAACAGTTCATAACTCAACCAGCAGCTAAGACATACATGGCTAATTTAGGTATTTTTCATATTTAGCTAGCATTACTTTACAATATTTTTTTTAATTAGATGATACAGTTTTAGACACTGTACCATCTTTCATTTTATTGGACATGTGAGTTCAAAGTTTATACTCACTATATGAACTGTATTATGAATCTTAGAGCCACTGTCAAATGAAAGTTGCAGAGGCACTGTATCCTTCTTGAAATAGCTATTTTATGACCTTAGGATTTCAGAAGGGAAAAAAGTTCTTTGTTCTTCAGAAACAAGCCATCAGAATAAATATCAGACAAAAAGTGTAATCCAAGAAAAACTAATCAGCTAACTACCTAATGCATTTACAGTATAGGCAATGCCATCAATTGTCCCCCCCCCAAAAAAAATTAGAGAATACTGATGAGTACACTCATTCATGGTATGGAAATATATAACTTTTATGGTGATTATTGTTGTCTATGCTAATCAACAAATTAATATAGTTCATGTGGCATCACATGTATTCTAAAACTGAAAATATTTTCCTCCATACAATATTTACAATTTCATACCAGCTGTTTACTTTTGTCCTTCCCCCCCCCTCTATAGCTCTTTTTTTATTCGGCACAATAAATTAATTCAAGATACAAGCTTTCTTATTCTCATATTTACCTCTAGCTAAATTAATATTAGTACACTTGCGTACATCTAGCCCAGTACCCTATTAATGGAAAAATACATAATTATGCAATGAATATTTTGTCGACACAAAATGTTTTTTAGGTGATTTTATTATTTATATCTTATTTATTTTTAACATTTTGAAATTGTATGGGTAATAAAAATTCAACATTCACTTTAACAAATCTTGTAAAATCCTATTTTACAAAACTGTAATAATAATAATAAAAAAAATCAGGCCTTCATCTGAATAAAAAGACCATAAAACAATTATAAGGGCTACAAAAAATTTCACTTAGTCAAAGACGTATATAATAGGGGTACTTTTTCTGTTAATAAGATGCCAGTCAAAAAATGTAGGCCAGTGTGGCACCTTATTTATATTGTGTCATGAACAGTCATGCAATAATGTCACTAAATAAGCAAAAAGAATGAACACCAATCCAGAAATTTTCTCTCCTAGATTTTTCAGTTACTTAAGCAAAAGAACTGGTACTTGCTGGATATGAGCATCTGCAAGTTCAAGTTAACCGTAAATACAATATTATTGATCTTGACATGAAAAGCCACGTACAAAACAGGCAAAATAAAAAATAGTGCAGCACTGTCCACAACCATGTAAATTTCTACCTCATCAAATTCATATGGAGTTGATTGCATGAAAACATATAAAGGTTTCTGCCTATGTTAAATTAAATTGGCAGTTTTATACTTTATGTGTAATCTGGCAAGATCTATTTTGTATTTTTGTACTTTTCTTTATTTTCTTGTATTTATTTTGGATTTAATAAAAAATAGTGATTATTATTTATTTTTATGAAGCTTTATTGGGTTGTTAGGGTTGCCACCATTAAATTAGATCCCACATTAACATTTGTATCTTGCAGCTCGATGTAATCTCATTTACAGAAAAGTATTAAAAAATATTCAAAGCCTCATTTAAACAATAATGAGTAATCAAAATATGGGTAACGCAATGTATATGTAATCAAAATATGGAAAAGAAGAGAGTTATGGTTTGATAAAATTATATTAGACATGAGATGGGTAAAAAATCTCTGTAATGAAACAAAGATCACGGTAATTCTTCACTTGGTTTCTTTCAGGTAATTGTACACATTTTAAAACAGAACTTTTTAATTGTCTCAGAAAATTGAGCTGCATTTTCTCCCAACTTTCTGAGGAAAATTCCAGAATTTTGACTTCAAATTCAACATTCACCAATTTTCCATGTCCATTTTACATTTCCATGACTTTTCAGATAAGTGCTATAAAAATATGGGATGCTGGGGTTACTTTTAGATTGTTCAAAGAAAGTTTTAATATAAATGGAAATCATTTGTTTTTCATTTAGTAAATTAAAGTTAAGAAAAGGTGACATAAATATTCAAGTGAACTTTTTGTATTGCCAGAATAATGTTTTAATTTTGTATTCAAAAAAGAAATTCTCTGTCTTTATGCACAAAGCCATCAAACTAAAGCTATCAGTCGTATATTTAAATCTATCATTACATTCCTCGGGAAAATGATAGAAGAGACCATTGGTTACTGATCAACATTAAGATTAAAGTCTCTTTTGCTGATTCTCAAAATTTAAGAATTAGGTTCCCGTATATGGAGGTACATTAGATAAGGCTGAATCTGATGCTCAGAGGTCTCTAAAGAACTGGTGACAAACTTCTTGGGTCAACAAAACGCATGACATTATTCAGGATAAATAGTACGACTCTGAAAACCAAAAAAGTATTGGAGTATAATGTGTTGATTAATGTACGTTTTCTGAACTTCAATCTTGATTTTAGGATAAATGGTTACAAGTGATAAAAGGTAATCATAACTAATTTTTATGACTTTTACTGGAAAACAAAATTTTTATTAAAAAAAAAAAGGTCTAAAATTTCAAAAGTATATCTGACAGCAAAATTCAATAATCAGACTTGAAATCAGAACACTTTAATTCAAATAGGTATCCTTTCACTTATTAAGCATTGGTTAGAAATTGTTGTACTCACTATCCCTATCATAATTGTGTCATTTAACTATCTTATCATCAGCAGCATGCCCAGGATGCGCTCCAGGGATAAATGGCTGACAACCTACAAGGGGATGGATAATTACAAATATTTATACTTTTTCCAGGATTCAAACATAGGTCCAATGATTTGACAGCCTATATTACTACATTAGCCTTAGACGAAAAAAGGAAAGTGATGCATTTTCTCCTCAGCAAAAGGCAAATGGTTACATACATTTTTCCCAAGAGAAACACTTACTTTCCAAAAAAATGCATGAAAATAGCCATAATATGCAAATGATGTATCATCTAGAGATGCAATGTTCAGCAATTGTAAAAAGAAAGGTGTAGTGGGTCAAAAGTATCCTTTCTCATGGCGTTACAGATCAGTTACTGTTGAAACAACGCATACTCTATTTACTTACGTGACTTGCTAATGAGATATTTCTCGATGATACCTTTATAACACAGGTTGCACCCCCAAAAAATCTTAATGTACAATTTATCAAAACTCACTGTTACCAATTTTGAAAGATATAGGTCGTAATAAACTGGATTAATTTTTATAATTTTCTACTGAAAATCCAATAGTAAGCTAATCAGAATTAACATTTAAGGTAAAAAGTATCTTCTTTGTTAAAACAAGTCATCAAGCTTAATCACCAAAATTTACAAGCTGAATAAACCAATCTGAAATAACTAAATTTAAAATCTCACTAAAAATCTA